AAGTTTGATCATAGTTAATCGAGGGGACCCTCTATTAACTATGGTTTGATGAATGACTGTCAATCTCCTGTCAGTTCTAACCTGGTCATTCTAGAAGAAAGTGAGCAATAACTTCGTTGGCAGTTACCATTTTTCATGCAGTTTGAACAGTTTAGTTGTCAAGTAAGGTCTAACAAGTTATACTACAATCCAAGCGATTAAACGAGTGTGAGTTTACAGTTTCAGTTCACTTTGTTTGGTATTTCAGCTTGTCTCTTACCAAGAGACTATTTTACAACATGTATTTTCCATGATAGGCCTTATGTGAGTTTACGTCGGAATTTACGGTTTACCCCCCAAGCGTCACCTTCAAGATGTGCACTAATAATTTTGATCAGAAACTATTCCTAACACACCGAATCGAAAAGAAAACTCGAGCAAAAAAAAAACAAACAAACAAACAGACAAGAATAATAATAATAATAATAATAATAATAATAATAATAAAAACAAGAAGACAGCAAAGATTTGTGACGGATCTTATGATAAGCTGGTTCCTACCTTTAGTAGCGGTAATAGACTTGATGCAACTTCATTCACCAAGTTGGGCAAAGAGACTGACTCTATGTTTAAGGGGAATTTTATTTAAACTCAAGTCTCCATAAAAACAGTTCTCAAATGTTGAGATGCCACCATTTTAGTAGGTAAATCAGGCTATCAGGCCTCCTCCCCCCTCTTGAGTTGCCTGGGGAGAGCTAACGTTTCACTGACGTCTTTACAAAATTCAGCCGACCGTTTACATGAGTTTGTGAACTCGGCTCGGGTAGGCCAGGCAATTTAGGGGTGGGGGGTGGGCCATCTTTTCTCGGCAGGTAGGGTAACCCTGGCAGGTGGGCAGCTTTTTCTCATGTAAACAACTTTGTTCCACCCACAGGAGAAGAGACAACTCGAACAGAAAATGCGTGCGAACGCTACAACCAGAGCCTGTGCGTTCTACAGCTATTCATTTCCTGTCGTCCGTTACTCTGCGGAATATGTAATCTGGCCTGGCTAAACGAGGGTCAGCAGATGTCAAATTTCATATAAACGATCCGTTGTCTCGGGTGGAGGGTTGTCTCGGGTACTCAAAACCATATGAATGAGGCCTCAGTGGAGCCACTGCAGGCCTTCGGCTCGGACCTGGTTCGACACGGAAAACTGTAGTTTCGAAGAGAGCAATCCTAAATCGAGAAGAAAAATATTGGGCTAAATTTTCAGTTAGAAACTATATCAGTATTTACTAAAGTTTCCCTCTCCGTGCAGACGTTGCAGCTAGGTTCTAAAGCAAGACTGAGGAGCCAAACTTTGCAACAGCAATATGTATTTCCTATAATTATGTTCAGTGTTGATAACAGTTGATATCTGATAAAGGAAGTGGCTACGCCTAATGGTTGTTATAATCTGTGGCAGTTTAGGATTGTAAATTAATGATAGCTTTATTATCTAATCTTAAATGTCTATACGTTATTAAATTTGGGTCCTATGAGACGATGGCTGTTTGTTGTGTTTTAACAGGGTTGAAAAAAGATTTTATTTTACATGAAGGAATAAAGAAAAACAATTGAATCAGTCCCCCTCGTGCAAAACTGTGGGTTGAACATGTCATTTCACAAATCTAAAGAGTAAAATGAGGACGAGATCGTACTGAAACCTCATTACTGCACAAATACTTCAATGCTCCATCTTTCTTAAGCTGTTTACGCGTGCCATGCTTTCGTACTCGTTAATTTGTTCAAAAAATTTTTTTCATTTAATTATGGCCACACAAAGAAC